TAGCACTAGCAAAATATGTCCACAACTCGGCTTTGTAAAAAGATCACATACAATACAGAATTAATTAGTATGTGGTCTTCTTACCCAAACTAGGCACTGAATAGTAACAATACTAAATAGGTTTTAGGTGAAAGAATCTATTCTAACATAATAGAAATTACTATAAATCAACAATCATAGCCTTCATACGTTTATTCAGGTAAAATGTCCATGTATATTCTAATACTCGATACCGAATAAAAAAGTTTGTCTGTCTGTCAATATTTAATGTTTAAACCATTGAACCAACTAATAGACCTCTTTAGCTGGGGCATAATGTTTTCAAGGCTATGACATGTGGTCTGAAAAGGGAAAACATTACGTCCAAGCTAAATTCGAACTCTATTCCAAGCCACGAGGGGGGTTGCACGGGCAACCTGTTACATCTAAATCCGCCACTAGGATGGACGGCAAAAAGGTCCAAACACCACCCCTGAGGAGATATTAATGTCAGGGGGACAACGTTTCATGATTGGCTAACATATCTACTATATCTAACCAATTAGTTTCAAGTTAACTTGGAAGGCGGCAGTTGATGCCCAGTACAAAAGCTACAAAAATTCAAACATTATCTTTCTCTTGGACTCAATCCGATGGAATATAGACTGCGTGYATCCGAACGAACACGAGCTGTGGTTTGTTTGGTTTTATGATAATATTATTAGTATATTGTTATAGGTTATATCTGATTGAATTTGAGATCTTGCTCGGAAATGCGATTCTCGGTGTTTTAAGGGGCATTTGCACATATTTATTGCATTAAAGTTATGATTAAAGTAATTTAACATGAGGGCAAAATTATTAGGGCGACTAAAGTCCCCCAGCCCTCCCATCATGCTCCGCGGTTCCTGTACATTTTGAAACGACAACGATCTGTCAGCGTTCATTGTATCGCGGGCTAAACAAGATGGCGGCCTCCACATGTGGAAAATTCCTTTACGCTTTACTTTAAAAATCCCTTCATAAAATTGCGTTAATTGATTCAAATTCTCATACCGGTCCTGCGCTAATAGTAGGAGATGGAAATTTTTCGTTTTCGGCTTGTTTAGCTGAATTTCTTTGTTAAATTTGATTGATTTCGGGTTGTTTTGAAAGTTGATTGGTCTTTACCTGTGGTTGAATCGTAAATAATGAAATGAGCGTGATTAGTGACAGTGGTAATAACAATCAAGGCTGGGTCATACTTGTTCATTTAGATCATCTTGTAATGGAACTATTTGGGATTAATGACATAAGGATATTGTGGTCACAACAGAAACTCTTCATACAACAGTTCTTGACACATGGCGAGGTATGTGAAAAATACTTTATTAATATCTAATAATGTATTACAATAGAATTTAAATGACAATTTTCATGAGAAGTTAGAAGAGTTTAAAAATTTTCATG